GCAAATGATTCCCATGCACGAGCTAATGGTCCACAAAAACAAATGGATCTCTTTCATTGCACATATTACAATCGAAAGGGTCATTTGAGTAACTATTGCTTTGACCGTGTTAGTACACCATATGTGCCCAAGAGGGTTCATAACCTAGGGCTTTGAGCTTAAATGATAGGGGTCATGTCCCTAACCTTTTGATACCAAGAATACTTGGGTACCAAAACAAATTTGATTTTAAACCAAGAATTTTAGTGTTTTTTATTTTTTTTCTTGGTTTTGAAAAATTATACTTTAAACTTTTGAACATGAAAACAATTCTTTTTGTTTATCAAATTCTTTTATTTTCATGATTATTGGTTTTGTTTTGATGAGAGGTTTGTGTTTATATAACCCTTCAGATTTATTGGGTGTTTATTTCCAAATCATGTTTACCGGATGCTAGAATGATTATATGGATTAGAACAAGCTTAAGAGCTTGATATATTGTTGCCTCTTACATTTTGTCAAAAATCTTGTTTTGATTTGTTGCTTTGAATTCATTATACTTCACTTATATGATGATATTTATGTGTTTGTGCTTATGGATCATCTATGTGTGTCTTATAATGCATTCTATATGTGGTTTGATCAAGTTCTACAAAGAAAGTTCTCTTTATTGATCAAACATTGTTCTTGGACTTAAATCTTGATTTATGATGTCATTTGGTTGATTTGTTTTCATTTGAAAACTTTTTGCATGATTCTCATGTTTCTCTTCTTTTGATTTCATAAATCTATGTTTATACACTATGGCTTTTATGTTTGAGTAATGAGACACTTCTTCCATTATGATATATCAATATGTGTCCTCATTACCTTGTAGCATGTGAGTAATATTTAGCATGTATGCATACTCACATGTTCGCCATGATCTTTCATTGCATATATTCTATATGGTATTTTGATAGGGGGAGCAATCTCTATATTTTTATACTCACTCATGCATATTGATAGAGGGAGCTTTCGCTCTATTCATTCTTTTGTTTTTCCTTTTTTGATGTTGTCAAAGGGGGAGAAATATTATGAATATATTCTTTTTGTTTATATGCATGATAATCACAATATTGTATATTCATTTCTTTTCATGCATATATCATTTTTGTAAATTATTTGTCATCATCAAAAAGGGGGAGATCGTTGGCCTTCTTGTTTTAATGATGTTTAATAAATAATTTACTTCTAATGTTGTTTGTCTAATATTTGTATAATTCTATTTATTGTAGACAAACAACATGTTAGAGGATGGATGGAATTGCGCATTCACGATCATGTCCAATGAAGATTGACGGAATTGTGGAGTGAAGCCTATGTAATTCAAATTGAAGATCCAAGTTCTAACTTCATCCGTAAGTGTACCGAGTTGAGCTACATCGAAGATCAATCAAGCTTGGGTATATTTAGTTTAGGTTTTATATTATGTGTGTTAGTACTTTAAGCTCAATCATATATACACACACATATTTGGTTTTTATAGATGGAGATGTGAAGTGGAAAGCTCAAACCAAAGATGATCTCCTCTTCTTGTGAACCAATCTTCACAAACTTGAAACTTTTAACCCACACTTAAACAAAACTTAAACTCTAGTAAAAACTTATTTAAAACATCCCTTGTTGGTAGAAAATTGGATTAGATTAACATAAGATCCTAATCACCCCCCTCGAGGGTCCAACAATGACTACCCTGCATGTGGCACAAACACGTTTGGATGACAAGCTTCCAAAGAGGGGAGAGTATGTATCCAATATTATATACAAAGGCATAGAAATAAAATATGAAAACCAATTATCATAAAGGCATTAGTTTCCAGAAATGATCCAAGAATCCACTTGCAAACGCTTCGCTCAAACAATGATTTTACCTAGCTTGTGATCTAGAAGACACAAGTACTCTGTATGTGGCAAAGACATGTTTGGATGACAAACTTCCAAAGAGGTAAGAGTACGTATTCAATGTATACAAAGATATGCAGTTGTGGATAGCTTCTCCAGACACATCAGGCGCATTTATCAGATACCAATGAAATATACTTGGCCTAATTTCAACCTAAGCAATCCATTCTAGAAAATATGTACATCATAAACTATTTACATTTCTGCACTCATGAGCAGACAAAAGTGACCAGTCTTGATGGGATCTAACCCCAGTCCTACATCAAATTTTGATACGATCAAATAAATGCAAAGAGATGTCCTAATATAAAGTCAACCTTTGGTCCATTATCAAGATGGCAAGCAACAGCAAGGCCCCATCCCTTAAGTTGAGACCAGTAAGATGGAAATTGAACGAAGTAACTATTAAGTAGTTTATACAATCACAGTTCTTTAGTGAAGTCAAGCTCGCCATCTAGCTCCAATTGGATAAGCAGGGAAAAGGCAGATGTAAGAAACAAGAAACAAAAGTGACGTAATATAAAAATGAGAAATTATGCAGTAGACAAGAGGTTTGTCAAATGGTCATTAAATCTGAACTTTAGTAGTTTCCTTTTTTTACCTGTTCTTCATTGTCGCACCAAGTCGTTAATGACTAAAGGAGATCCTTGTGGTTAAAAAGAGAAATTATGGTCCTTATATAAGAAGACGCAAAGGCAAAGATTTCTTAGAAAAAATAACGGAAGGAACATACACAAAAACACTGATGAGGTAACAGATAACATAGCTGGTAGTAGACTCCATCATAGACCTAAGAACCAATTTAAAAGATTTTTACATGAGAAACATCTTACAGCTGAGATTTGGGGAACACCCCTTTCATATCTTCGTAGCAGTCAACAGAAGTAAGAACAAAGAATGAGGATGGTAGTTCTGCTTACTAAGAACAAAGAATGAGGATGGTAGTTCTGCTTACAAATTAGTCGCTGAGGCCAACTTTACAGAAATACTTCTCCGTCATCTACTTTTTTTATCAGTATTTTCAAAGATGCAACTGCAGCATGGTTTTAAATATCGGCCGATAATCCGATATTATCGCCGAGTTATCGGATTTGGGAGCTTTCCGCTAGGATAAGTAGGATTTTTAATCGGTTATCGTTTTTTGAGGTTTATCGACGAGTTATCGGCGATAAAGGTACTTATCGGCCGATAAGTAGGCTCTAAATATCGGCTTTATCGGCCGATAAGTAGGATTTGGGAGCTTTTACTTTCTTTTGGATTTGCTCTTTGAATGTTTACAAATTATGAACTATTTGTTGCTTTTGGAACTTGGTTGATTGGTGATTAGCTTATGTTTGTTTATGGATATTGATAATGGCTCATAACTACTAAATATCAATTTAGTAAGTTAGTTTATGAATCTCATGATTAAACAATAATTATGTAGATGCGTAGATGGTTCTTCATTCTTGATGTTATCTTATTATTTGCTAGTTTATTATTCCATTTTGACTAACATTATATTATTTTTCAAGCTTATGTTTGTTTATTATTTGCTAGTATGTTACTCCGATAAATACTATTTATCCCCGATATATCCCCGATTTCCGCTATCCGATAAGAATTTTGACCGTCCGATAAATTTCCGATAACCGACATTTAAAACCTTGAACTGCAGAACTCTACAACAGATCAGGTTGTAGATCTACTGTAGTGTGTGGATAGAGTATCAAGACCACAATTGAACCATGAATCATGAATGAACCAACTGACTTAGGGTGGACATACCGCTCTGTCCAAGTTTAGCAAGTCAGCCACGAATATGAAGTAACAGAATATAGAAAAGTCTACTTCACCCATTACTACATGCTCCTAGTATAGGTTGAATTCATGGTTAACAAAATATGGGGAACTTTGATCTTAGTCACTAACATGTTCAAGCCATTGTTTTAAAAAGCGGTTTAGGAGCCTACCTAGGCGGCAACTAAGGTTAAGTCATATTCCAGATGTTGTGCAAGCATGGGTCGCTTAAGCAGGCCGACTCTATATCTAAACCTAGTATGCTGCTGCTTAAGTATAGTAACATGTAAGAGAACGGGTTTGGTCAAAATGGATCTAAAATGGGTATCTATTTGCCCCAGGAGCTGTAAATTTTGTGCCTCCAACTTCGACAGAAACAATTGCCTTAAAAAGATAAAGTGCCAAACTAATGCCCTGAGGCGGAGCTAGCTAAGGCCCAAAGAGGACTTGGACCACCCCGATATTTGCATATTTGCAAAATATGTGCCAGCATCATGGACATTTGCTTGCTTCTCCCAAAAAACATCATGCACAGGTGCAAAATCCATCCCAAAATCTCAATTTGCAAACTAAAGACAAATCATCAACTTTGGAAAAAGAATATTCCCATCAACTTTGTTGGATATGGTGAGTAAATATTTGACTATTTTCTTGATAGCTTTACATTGCACTTATAAATTAACCTATCAAAGTTGATGATTTATTAATTTGGAAGGTATCTTTTTTCCAAAGTAGTTGATGATTGGTGATAATTTTGAAAATATTGTGATTTGAGGGGAAGTGATGTAAATATGCATAGTTCAAGGGGTATGTACAGAAAACGCCAAAAAAGAACCCGGTTAATCATAACTTTCATAAATCATAGGCTGCAAATATGTAAAACCCCAAACTTTCTCAAAATTCCATGGTTCCTGTCGCGAGTTGCGAACAAACTGCGTACAGATCACGAGTCGTTTTGGATTTCTCGCAAGAATTCTCTCCGACCGCATCCGCCTGCATTCCCTCCACCCTCATCCGCTCGCATTCCTCCACCTCTATCTTTCATACTCAATCAGACCTTATTCTTATACGTTTCCTACGTTTTCCCCTCTTCCGGTTTGAACAACATGTGAAACTCTGTGGTCAGATTAACCATATCTTCATTTAGATCGAATTCCAAAAGACCTTTCATTATCAAGACACCCCAAATGATGTGTTCACACAGACACATTCTAGCAAACAGTTTGTCAGCAAGCAATCATTCATGAAAGAAACAGAGAAACAAGTTCACAGCTGGTGATGGAGGTATTATATTGTACCGAATTTGATGCAGTTTCTCTGCGTTCAACGCTCGGCTGCTCATCGGCGGCGTCGCTGGAGCTCGGAGGAGAGGTGGAGGAGGAGACGGGCCTCGAGAAAGCCAAGCGGAGGAGGGACGGAGACGATGGGATTCGATGAGGAGGGTGGTGACGGATTAAGAGGAGAGGTTGGGGTTTAAGAGCTAGGGTTTTAGCAGCGGTGGCCAGAGCGTTCATCTCGTCGTTTCTTTTGAGCAACAGAAGCGAGTGAAGCTGCTCCCTCGCTGAAAGAGGGCAAGTTTCACAAAAAAACGAACCTTGGGGGCGGATCGCACAAAGCCCCTCCTCGGCTTTGAGAGTTTTAGAGAAAAGGCCCTATTAACTTTGGGGAGTTTTCGCCAAGCACCCTGAATTTTTTGAGGGAAATGGGGGAAACGTCTTGACCCGCGGGTATATGTATGCAAAGTTTCGTACGAGGTAGGGTAGGGTTACAATAATGGCGCGGTTTGGCCGTGAAAAGGGTAGTTAATGTATCATTACCTATATGGATATAAAAGATCTATATCATTCATTGTTATCTACATTCATCAAATGTTTATGAATCAAAAATATGGTTTGAATTTTTTTATCTTATAATTCAAACAACTCAAAACAATTGATACTTTGTTGTAAAACTAATAAAGTAGAGTAGAGAAAGTAGACGAAAAGTAGAGAGAAAATTTATTTCATTCGTTCTTCATTGCTATATCAAAGTGAGGTAGGAATACCTCTATTTATATACAAACTAAGATGGTGATACATTAATCATATTAATTACTCATTCATGAACTTAGTCTTTCAAGAACATGCATTGTGTTGTTCTAGGAAGAAGATTAATGTACTAGGGGAATATCAACTTCTTGCGAAACTAAATGGACATCCATATTATTTCATCACTCCCCCTTGGATGTCCAACATTACACAAAGAATATGCCTCGTTAAAACCTTACTAGGAAAAAACCAGTGGGAAAAAAATCCTAGTGAAGGAAAAAGAGTACACTATTCTTGTGTATTAGTTTCTCCCCCTGATTCAAATATCATTTGATATCTTTCAACCGACGCATTCCAATATTTTTTACCAATTTCTCAAAAGTTACAGTCGGCAATGCCTTAATGAATAAATCTGCCAGATTATCACTCGATCAAATTTATTGCACAACGATTTCACCATTATTTTGCAAATCATGTGTAAAGAAGAATTTTCGTGAAATGTGTTTCGTTCTAATTCCTTTAATATATCATCCTTTTAATTAAGCTATACAAGCTGTATTGTCTTCAAACAAAATAGTCGGAGGATTTTTATTTTCAGGAGACAATCCACTATTCTTCTGGATATAGTGGATCATTGATCTTAGCCAAATACATTCTCGGCTGGCCTCATGAATTGTAATTATTTTAGCATGATTCGAAGAAGTGGCAGCAATTGATTGTTTCGTAGATTGCCATGAAATAGAGGTGTCACCACATGTAAATAAATAACCAGTTTGAGACCTTGCTTTATATGGGTCAGATAAATATCCAGCATCAGCATATCCAAGCAATCCAGATCGAGAGTTATAAGAATAAAATAAGTCAAGATCAATTTTCCTTGGAGATAGCGAAAATATGCTTTATATCGTTCCAATGTCGTTTTGTAGGAGATGAACTAAATCTTGCTAATAAATTCACAGAAAATGATATATCTGGTCTTGTACAATTAGCAAGATACATTAGTGCACCTATTACACTGAGATATGGTACTTCAAGACCAAGAATCTCTTCACCTTCTTCTTTTGGTCTAAAAGGATCCTTAGCAGGATCAAGTGACCTGACAACCATTGGGGTACTTAATGGATGTGCTTCATCCATGTAGAACCATTTTAATACCTTCTAGGTATAAGCAGTTTGGTGAACAAAAAATCTATTTTCTAAATGCTCAATTTGTAAACCAAGGCAAAATTTAGTTTTACCAAAATCTTTGATCTCAAATTCTTTCTTCAAATATTCAATTGCCTTTTGGAGCTCTTCAGGAATTCCAATCAGATTAAGATCATCAATATATACAGGAATGATCACAAAATTTGACTCATTCCTCTTTATAAAAACACATGCAAATATAGGGTCATTTGTATAACCTTCTTTGACTAAACATTCACTAAGACGGTTATACCACATTCGTCCAGATTGCTTGAGTCCATACAAAGATCTTTGCAACTTAATGGAGTACATTTCTCTAGGATTTGATTTACATGCTTCAGGCATGCTAAATCCTTCAGAGATTTTCATATAGATATCATTATCTAATGTTCCATATAAATAAGCAGTGACTATGTCCATCAGACGCATATCAAGTTTTTCATGTACTGCTAAACTCACAAGATATCTAAATGTAATTCCATCCATTACTGGAGAATATGTCTCATCATAATCAAATCCCGGTCTTTGTGAAAATCTTTGGCTACTAGTCTTGTTTTATATCTCACAATTATATTTTTCACATTTCTTTTCCTCACAAATACCCATTTATATCCTACTGGCTTTACACCTTCAAGTGTTTGGACTACAGATCCAAAAACTTTTCATTTAGCCAGTGAATCTAATTCAGATTGGATCGCATCTTTCCATTTTGACCAATCATTTATTCACCGACATTCATCAACCGATCTGGGTTCATAATCCTCGTCATCTTCCATAATATCAAGTGCTACATTATATGCAAATGTATTATTGACAATTACTTCTCTCCGTAATAACAAAATTTATTGAAGTTTTATTTTCTTCAGGAGTTGGCTCTTCAGGAGCGACCTCTTCAGGAGGTTAAATTTTGTCATTAGTAATATTTTGATCATTCGATCCTCTTTTCTTTCGAAGATTCTTATCTTTGGAACCAAGAGGTCTACCACGCTTCAGGCGTGCTTTAGATTCGTCAGCACTTTTAATTTGTCCTTCTGGGATATCAATTTCAATCGGAGCATTTTCTGCTGGAATATGCAATTTAGTAATTCTTCTAGAATCACTAAAAGCATCTAGTAATTGGTTTGCAATTTTCTGTAAATGTATAATTCTTTGAACTTCCAGTTCACATTCTTTTGTATGAGGATCAAGAAAGTCTAATAATATTTTCCAAGTAATTTCCTTTTTCGGTTGATCTTTACCTCCCCCTAATGTCGGGAAATGTGATTCATCAAAATGATAATCTATAAATCTTGTAGTAAATAAATCACCTGTTAATGGTTCAACATATTTAATTATAGAAGGTGATTCATACCCGATATATATCCCCAATCTTCTTTGAGGGTCCATTTTAGTACGTTGAGGCAAAACATATACCGCACAACCAAAAATTCTTAAATAAGAAATATTGGGCTCGTGACCAAGAACTAATTGTAAGGGAGAATAAATATGATAACTTGTCGGTCTAATTCTCATAAGTGTTGTTGCATGTAATATAGCATGTCCCCAAGTAGATAAAGGAAGTTTAGACCTCATTAACAATGATCTTGCAATTAATTGAAGCCGTTTAATAAATGATTCGGCTAGACCATTTTGTGTATGAACATGAGCTACAGGATGTTCAACACTTATCCCAATAGCCATGCAATAATCATCAAAGGCATGTGATGAATATTCACTAGCATTATCTAGACGAATTTTCTTAATGGAATAATCAGGAAATTGTGCTTGCAATTTAATTATCTGAGCAAGCAATCTCGCAAATGCTAGGTTGCGACTAGATAATAAACTTACATGTGATCATCTTGTTGATGCATCAATTAGTACCATAAAATATCTAAATGGTCCATATTATGGATCTACAGGTCCACATATATCACCATGAATTCATTCTAGAAATGCAGGGGATTCAGTTCCTACTTTCGTTGGTGATGGTCTAACAATTAACTTCCCTTGGGAGCAAGCAACACATGAGAATTCATTAGAATTTAGTATTTTTTTATTTTTCAATGAATGGACATATGAATTTGTAATTATTCGCCTCATCATTATAGAACCAGGATGTCCAAGGCGATCATGCCAAATCATAAAATCATTGGGATTAGTAGACTTCTGGTTTTTAAGATGATACATTTCAGCTGCACTTATTTTTGTATAATATAAACCAGAAGATAGAGAAGGCAGCTTTTCTAATACGCATTTCTTCTCAGAAATGGTATTTGTAATCAATAAGTATTCACCATTTGTCTCATTCATCGTCATGATATGATATCCATTTCGGCAGATATCTTTAAAACTTAATAAATTTCTTCGATACTTTATCGAGAGTAGTGCATTATTTATGATAATTTTAGTTCCTTTGGGGAGAAATACAGTGGCTCTTCTGGAGCCATCAATCAATTTATTACTACCACTTATTGTGTTAACATTTGTTTTTTCCATTTTAAAATGAGAAAAATACTTCATGTTTTTAAGTATAGTGTGTGTAGTAGCACTATCAATGAGACAAGTATTATCATCACCATTGTTTGATCCCAAATATTTGGCATCCATTTTTTCTTCAGGAAGAAATGACAAAGAAAATTACAAACAAAAGTAAATATCAATAAAGTTCATAAATTACAAAATTCATAAAGAAAATTATATAAAAGATGCGAAAATAACAAAATTCAAAATGTCGGGTATTTATCATGGGATCATTTCGCAACTTCAGGTTGCTCAAGGAAATCAGCTACATTGAGGTGTGTGATATCATCAAGATCATCATAAATATTATTTTGATCAATAAAATTTGTCTCGACATTTTTGCCTTTCCCTTTTAATAATGCCTGAAGAGGTCAACAAGATGTTTTGCCGTACGACAGGTACGGGACCAATGACCTTCTATTCCACACCGGTAGCAAATTTCCTCATAATGTTTATTTTCTTCACTTTTCTTATCATTATTGTCTCATTTTTTAGAGTTGTTTTGTCTTCTACCACGGCTATGATCAATGTGATTATAAGGCACATATCTACCACGACCTCGTCCACGATAATGGCTATGTCCTCGGCCTCCTCCACGGCCATGTCCACGCTCACGACCATGATTTTGAGGTTTAGTTGCATTCGCTTCAGGGAATAGGCTAGAACCAGTAGGTCAGGATTCATGATTTTTCAATAATAATTCATTATTTTGTTCAGCTAAAATGAGGCATGAAATCAATTCAGAGTATTTCTTAAATCCTCTCTCTCGATATTGCTGCTGCAGGAGCATATTCGAGGCGTGAAAGGTGGAGAATGTTTTTTCTAACATATCATCATCAGTGACATTTTCTCCACACAATTGCAATTGAGAGGTAATTTCATACATTGCAGAACTATACTCACTGATTGATTTAAAATCTTGTAGGCTTAAGTGAAGCCAGTCATACCGGGCTTTTGAGAGCACGACCAACTTCAGATGGTCAAATCTCCC